GAACAGCACCCGCCCACACCACACCCAGAGATCGCAAGTTAACCACACTACCCGAACAACGGCGCGCGCGAAGGAACCACCGACAGCTTCGGCCCTCAACTGGATGCCACCGCCCGCCCAAAACGTACCGACAGCGAAGTGCAAAGCCTCATCTCTCCATTGAGAAATGCGGGGGAAGAGAGAAACGAATGCACCACGCTTCCAACATGCCCGGACGGACGGAAAGCCTCCACCTGTACACGGGGGCGCAAAAGGAACACAACCCCTCTCCCCCCTGGGTCCACATCCGTCGGTTGCCGCGGGCACCACCAACAGCACTCGACGCAGGCGAAACCCAGGAGACAGAGGACAGTAGCCTTCGAGGCCCACTACCTAAACGCAGCGGAACCACGACGCAACGCGATCCGTCAAGTTGTGCAGCATACCAAGACCACAAGATGGGGGACACGACGGGCACAAGCGCGCATTCCAAAAAGTCGGGCGGATGACGGGCCCAGCCTCGCAACGCCGTCGGAGGGTGCATCACGCATCCCACAAGTCTCCGCCCTCGCATACGGTAAGCAGCGCGTGCATGGCCGAGGCCACCTGCGCCACAGCTCAATGGCGCCGCTCGGATGGCGAAGAGCGCAGAGCGTCCTCACCAAGTCGTGACTCCCCCTCAACACAAACGGAACGCGCCGTTGTGAGTGCGGACACGAAGACCACACCACAACAGAGCCGCAACAGCTCTCCCCGTAACCTACGGGATGATGGTGCCGAAGCTGAGAGCTGGTGACGGGCACCTCCGCCTCCACACCCTGCAAACGACCGCCAACCGGACTGCCGTCGGCGTTCAGGCACCAATCATCGCAAAACGATGAGCGAGGGTGAACGCAACGATCCACAACCCGGCACCACGGCATAGGAAAGCCCTGACAGCCGCGACCGCCGCCAACGACAACCGAGCTGTCGTGAAATAAGCCCTTCGAGAGAGACGACCACGAACCCGAACGGCGCCGCAGAAATGTTCGCTCGATCACCAAAGCACGACTCGCTCGTCCCTCGCAAACTGGAAACCACCCAAAGCGTGTGCAGAGAGTCCCTCGTAACTCGAGTACAAGGTCCCAAAACCCATGCCCGGAACGTTGCCTTCGTCGACTGCAAGGGGGCTGCTAAGCACGCAGKCCCCTATAAGAGTGCAAACGGGACTCCGAACCGCCAACCACCGACTGTTTGGCACATCCGGAGGGTGCTCACTGAGCCATCCGCCGAGGGACCTKCACATGTCCCTTTCCACCAAGCTGACTGAGCAGACCCCAATGGCGATGTCCCCCTCGGGACCTCATCCCTTTCCGCTCTCAATAAGACACCTCTGGACCTTCGATCCAGGGAGACCCACTTTTCTCGGGGCCGTTCCTACGCCCGAGTGGCAGTGCGCGGTATCTGCTGCCCCCACAAAATTCGACACCTCAAAAGTCCGTCCCACCTCCGTCCCTTCCACACACAAAGGGATAAGGGGAAGGGCCGGGGG